TTTGTAGCAACTTTATTTGTAATTGCCAAAAACTGAAGCAACCCAGATATCCCCTAATAGGTGAATTGATAAACAAATTGGGGTACATCCATGCAATGGAATATTATTTATCAATAAAAAGAATGAATTATAAAGCCATGAAAAGGCATGAGTAAACCTTAAATGCATATTGCTCAGTGAAAAGGCAGTCTGAAAGGCTGTATGATTCCCACACATGACATTCTGGAAAAGGCAAAACGGTTGCAATAGTAAAATGATCAGTGGTTGCTGGCGTGGGTGGGGGAAGATGAAAATGTGGTGCACGTGGGTTTTTCTCTTGGTGAAAGTGTTCTGTGCGATCCTGTAATGATGCGTGTGCGACACTGTACCTTTGTCAGAACTACTAGAAGCTCCGCAAAGAGTGAACTTTAATGTATGCAAATTAAAAAAATCGTTTACGTGATCAGGGGATTCCAGGATAGAATGTGGACTGTGAGCAAAGAATTTACTGTATTACAAATATCTGAAACAGCCTCCCTGAAGGAGGTAGGAAAAAAGGTGGTGACCTACATAACATTATAAATGAGGGTGGGCTGGGCGCCTGGGTGGCTCAGTTTGTTAAGCATCTGCCTTCGGCTCAGGTCATGATCTCCAGGTCCTGGGATCCAGCCCTGCCTTGGGCTCCCTGCTCAGCGGGAGTCTGCTTCTCCCTCCTCCTCTGCCGCTTCATCTGCTCTTTCTCTCTCTTTCAAATAAATAAGTAATCTATAAGTGAGGGTGGGCTATAAAGCTAAAGACACGGGAAAGTGCACATAAGCACTGTGCAGTAGTTGATACAGTTGTTTCCCATGGTATAGGTAACACTTCTGGTAGCGCTGTATGCGGATACTGGATGTGAACAATTAAATAAAGGGGTGACATTCTCACTGTTGAAGTGGGAGGTGGGAGTTTACAGATAAAGAAGGGGAGGGGGCTGGAATGATCCATGTAGTAATGGGTCAGAGTTGGAGTCATCAGTATTATGCATGTTTAGTTATATCTATATAGATGTAGATAAATGTGGAATTATTAAAAGATGTGTGTATATAAATGGGTTAGGATACACAGATTTCCTGGCTAGTCAGCAGAGAGAGCTGGAAACAAGACTGTGCAGTAGCAATGAGTACACCTAGCACCCAGATTTTGGGTTCTAATACCATTCTCTAATAAGAGGAACTAGGGCTCTTTGGAGAAACGGCTTATTCTGGGAGTGGGGCAGAGGGCCTAAAAGATAAGCCCAGAGCATTTGGCAATACCAAAGGAAGTGCTGTAAAAAACAAAAATTCTATGTGATGGAGGTATGTCGTAGGAAGATAGGAAGCAACTGAAAGAGCCCCCAGAGGCCAAAGGTAGAACCATTTGAGCAATGAAATAAAGTAATATTGGATTATAAACCCAAGTATATAAGTGTCTTTGTGTCTGTACTGATATAAATGATTGTAAATAAGTAAATGAGAGGAGACAAATCTCCCATGCAAAAAAGTCCTCATAATTTATATAGTTATTCCCCCCAAAGGTGGTAAATTATAATTCCTCATTCCTTAAGTGTGGGATACAGATAAGGGCTTCTTTCCAAGGGGTACAGTATGGAAGATAGGGAAAAGAAAGTGACTTTGCAATAGAGAAACCTGGCAAACACTTCCTCCCAAGTTCTTACTGTCAACATCAACAGTGGTAGATCATGTTGATGGTAGGTATACTTGATATGATTTGGTGAGAATGGCACTTTACCTCTATGGTCTTCATCCCCAGAAACCCATAACCCCAGTTTAATCATGAGAGAAATGTCAGACAAGTCCCAGTTGAGGGAGATTTTGCAAAATACCTGACCAGTACTCCTCAAAACTGTTAAGGTCATAAAAATAAGGCAAGTCCAAGAAATTGACACAGCCAAGGGGAACCCATGGCAATATGATAAATGTACATATCAGAGTATCCTGAATGAGATTGGATTCTAAGTAAAACTAAGGAAATCTAAATAAAGTATGGATTTGGGTTAATAGTAATATGTCTATATTGGTTCATTAATTGTAACATGTTAATAATAAGGGAAACTGGGTGTAGGGTATATGGAAACTCTATACTACCTTGATGTTTCTGTAGCTTTACTTCCGTTCTAAAATTTAAAATTTACTTAAAAATAAATAAAATGATATATTCTGAGCCACCTGTCCAGTTTTGTTATCTGAACTGGAATGAAACTCAAAACTGTCTTCCCTTTCCCATTCGTCAGTTAAAGATGGGAAATACTGTAGTTTGCTTTTTCTTGGGTAGCTGTGGCCATCCATCTATCAATTGATCCAGCCATCCCTCCATCCATTCGTCTGTCCATCCATCCATCTATCTGTCCATCCATCCGAAATTCTTATTGAGACTTGCATGTTTGTCATGCTCTGGGGATACAGAGTTCACAGAAAGATACAGCACCTGCCCTCAAATGTACTTAAAATACAATCAAGAAAGGGGGACAAACACATGATGTGTAGGCCATTGTTACTCTCAGTGTGTAGGCTCTTGTTGCTCTCATGATAGGTGTTCTGCTCTGCTCCTCTCAAATATGTTAGTAGGAGAGTCTCCTCCCTTATCCTAACTCTGAACTCTTTCAAAGGAGTTGGGCTCTTTTGGTTAACTTTAAATTGTGTGATTTTTAAGTGACCATACCTTTTTTTTTTAGGTCTCCAAATTTGGCCTTGGACTTGTAATAATCTTCTCTTCTAGGGTGCTTGAAAGAATTTAGATGATATCTGGTGTTGTACCCAAGAGCTTTCTAATGATTCAGAAGACAGTGTCACACCTTAGGAAAGCACATCGTGGTCTCATTGTGAATTCTTTGGGGGTGTTCCCCTCACCTCTTACATCTGTTTGGAGGCTTTAATCTCTTCCCCTTGATTGTTTTATTTCTGGTGTTATAGGGAACAAGACTTGGTTCTGTGATCCTATTCATTCATTCATTAATCAGTTTAGCATATGCCTACTTCAGGGCCTTCATACTTGCCATTTCCCTGCTTATGGATGTTCTTTTCACAGATTCCTTTCATTCAGTCTCTATTTGAATTTTACTCTTGAGAGATGCCTTTATGATAACCATGTTTAACTATAGCTACCTCTCCCCAACTCTGCCACTCTCTAACTCATTACATTGCTTTTTTTATAACTTATCTCCACCTGACATTTATTATATATTTATTTGCTTATTGTCTTTTTATTCTAGAAAATCTTACAAGGGTGGGAACTTTATTATTTTGTTTAGTTCTAGGACATAGTAAGTAAGCACTCAGTGAATATTTGGTAGATGAATGCATGCATGACAATGTCTCCAATTCTTCCAGTGGGGGCCTACAAAAGGCTTCTGATGACCTGCTTTCATAAATCAGAATTTCTGTCATGTTTTTATTGAAACCCTACTTCAGTCCTTGATCCATTTATATTTGTAAATGAGAGTTTTCAGAGTGCTTTCACATAGATTGTCACTTTTAATTCTTTGTAGGAATGAAAGCTATGAAGCAACTAAGAGTTTTCAGATGTATTTTACAGACATGAAAGTTTGGGAGGTGAAACCAGATCTTCTGACTGCTAGCTCATCAAGTGATGACCCAGGATTTATGTTTCATCTCCACCTGTACCTAGAATGTATGCTTTTGAGGGCACGGGCTTGAATTATTTGTTGTTTTATTTTCCACTATGTCTTACATACAGTGTATTTACTTAAAGGTGTGTTGATTTGAACCTTTCCATCCACAGAATAGTTGTGGAAGTATCTTTTCCATTTGAAACGAAAGGGGAACATTTTAGCCCCTTCTTTCCCCCACTTCTATTGACCACTTCTTTGATGGACCTTGGGAGAATCTCAGAGATGAACCTTACCTATGGTCCCACAGAATCAGGAGGCTGGGGCTGTGTATTTCACAAGAATCACTTAGGAACCTTGTTTATATTCAAATTCTGTTTCAGTCAATCTAGTACAGGACCCTTAAGTCTGCATTTTTAGCAGGCGCCCTGGTGGTGCCCATGCTGCTGGTCTGTGGTCCGCATACTGAGCATGTCGGGGGTTGGTAACCACATGAAAGATGGAATCTCTGTTTGGCTACCTGACTTTGTCACCCCGGGCAAGTTTCTTGGAGACACTATAGCCTACTGGTTAAGCTGTATTTCTCTGGTTAGAATTCTACCCCCCTCACTTACAACTGTGACCCCAAGCAGGTTATTTAACCTTTCTGTATCTCAGTTTCATCTTTTAAAATGGGGTTATTAGTACTTACCTTATACAGTTGCTGTGAGGAATGACTGAGTTGTTACTTGTAAAGCACCTAGAATAGAGCATAGCACACAGTGAATCTTAACTCTATCATTTCTTTGTCTCCTTGTGCTATTCTGTTAAACTGCATCAGTAGGTTTAAGATCCATGTGAGAGACAAAGTTGTTTGAAGTATTTGTAGGTTATGAAATAGCATGATATCTTTTGTGAAACTCCTAATCTTGCTGGAAGACACAGTGCTTTCGTTAATGAACAGTGCAGTACAAATCATTCTTCTGGTGCTGTCACAGCTGTACCGTGTAGTTCCCATCAAGCACAAGAAAATGAGGGGACAACGAGTGGGCACTCCGGTTTTGTAGTCAAGTGTCATGATATATGATACTAAGCATGGGGCATAACGTTGTATGATTCATCTCAGTTATGCATTAAATAAACGAACTTGATTTTCATTGATGATATGGAAATATGGAGTCAGGGGCCCCAAGAATCAGTGAGAACCCAATTGATTCTTCATTTAATTCATCTTATAGTAATGGGGTAGGGGGACGTATGGACAGAATTATTTCAAAGAGAGATTTTGTTTTTCCTTTTTCAAATAACTAATGAAAAATAAAGTTGTGTTCCTCAGGAAAAAAATTGACATGGCTCATTTCTTTCACTGACTAAAAAGTGTAAGAAGTAAGTTTTTAATTAACACAGAGATTTTTTTTTTTTCCTTTTGTTTTAGGATCAGATTTTATTAAGACCTCTACTGGAAAAGAAACAGTAAATGCCACTTTCCCGGTAGCTATAGTAATGCTACGGGCCATTAGAGATTTCTTCTGGAAAACTGGAAACAAGGTATATTATTGCCAGCAAATCTTTCTTCAGAGTAAAGATAATGTTATTTATAATACTAGTTACAGCCACAAAAACTGTCTTTATATGCAGAAGGTGTGAATGAGTTACCTTTATGAAGATAAATGTTTAATTTACCTTTCATTACAAAAGAACACATTCATGGAGAAAAATGTGCGATTAACAGAAAGTGAGTGTGAGTGTGGGAGTAGGTATGTGTGATCAAGATGTAAACTCACTTTATGTCCTTTTATTAACTGAAGACAATTTTATCACTGACAAGAGATTCCTAAATGGGTTCTTTAACGAACTAATTCTGCTACAACACAGAGGCTTTCTGGTAAGGCGTTGGCCAGCGAAAACAGGTTAATGCAGAAATTAAACTTCCTTGAGGAACGGGAAGAATTGCAGAGTAACATTTATTGAATGATAAGCTGTGGTGGTGATATGAAAAGTATGCAATATAATGGGAAATAATCTTTTCCTGTCATTATTGAAGGACACACATAAATTGGTTTTTCTGTTGGGAAACCCCCGGTCCAGAAAAACTTATTACTTTTAATAATATGAGGTGAAGAGAAAATTCTCGAGGAGATGAACTTATTAAACAAAATAATGAAATGCTGTGAAACAGCAGGGAAAAGGTAGCTAGACGTTATATGGCTCTTGAATTAAATATCCATTTTTGCGTTTTATGGCAGTTGGATGTGCTCTTTGGAAGACTGTTAAGCTGAGGAGGGTATGTGCTAGCTTTTGTCAGCTTTTCGAAAAATAATACATATTTTTTGAAACATATGAAGTTAAAAAGAAAAATGTGTATGAGGTTTTTTAAAATGAGTTTGGATTTTCCTTTTCACTTCAAGTTGCTTGTTTAGCTGCAAATTATCTCAAAGGATTTTTTTTTTTTTTTTTTTTTACATCATTGGAGAGAAAGGTAGTTTGTTTGGTTTTGGTTTTTGTTTGTTTGTTTGTTTAATGAGACTGTCCCTTCCTCAGAAGGCATCTTTTAAAACCAACCTCTGGATTTCTGCCAAATGGAAACCCAGAAAAGACCTTTAATCCTTTGCGAACTAGATGTGATGACTTTATATATGTGACTATACCTTCGGTTCATTTTAGGAACTGGAGACCATTTTTAGAATGTACTGGGTTTGAGAGGAAATGAACTTCCAGAATTTTCTCCTTCAGAATAAGTTCCTATCTTAAAAAAAGTACAAATAGGAAAGATAGCTGCTCTGACCTTACATATGACAGTTGACTCCATTTGAGTAACCTCTTTGTTGGTAGCCTTTCTGCACTGATCCAAATAAAAACATGTTTAGCCGTCAAAAAAGAGAACTCTGTCTTTGGTCCCATCAGCTGAGACCACCACCATTTGTAGATCAGTGGTTCTTATTTTCTGCCAAAGTACAATAAAATAAATGTGAAGCTTTTTATGCTTCTAGATGCCTGGGCCCTCATCCCTAGCACTTCCGGATGAGAGGTAATCCTCAGGCATCTATATGTTTCGTAAGCTCTGTAGTCAGGATTAAAACTCACCATTGGAGACCCAATCCTGCTGTGTTCTCAACAAACATTTATTGAGTAGTTAACTGTGTGCCATGTTAACCTATGTTAACAGGGATACAAAATGAACAAGTCCCTTCCCAGGAGAGCTCGTAGACAACAAGCAAAGAATTTCAATAAAAGTTTTAAGTGCTCAATATTCTAGGCCAGAGTACAGTAAGAAGGGACTTTTTGCTGTCTTTCAGTACTTCTTTTTAATTGTAATGACCCTTTCCTCAGATAATAAACAAAGGTCATTCCAATTTTATTACGAAACAGACAGATGCAAGTCAAATCATATTCATTTTAATTATGTGTGATTTCACACAGTGAGGACCTGTGTATGTGTCTGCAAATCAGGTACATCCTTCCAGGTTGTTGACAAGTTGCCTGGGCAGCCCTTAGACTGTAAACTTTCTACATCATTGATTTAAGGGGTGTTTTAAAATGTGACGGGCCATCTTCCAGACCATGCTTAGTGTCACTCTGAGCAGCAGAGGTTTAATATTTCATAACTGATTTCATTGCAGATTTATGTTTTCCATATTCTCTCCCTTAAAGAAAAAAAAAAGATAAACTTATGCTAGAACCTCTTTTTAGAAACGTTGCCAAACATTGCTGACACAACTGAACTGTATAGAAAAATCTATATGCAGCACAGCCTAATTGACAGAAATGTGCTTATGATTAACATGTATGCTAATATCAGCTAATTGATTTTGGGGGCCTCTTCTCAATAAATAATCTCATCCTATTTATCTCCCCCACTCACCCTATGTCCCCGCAGTCTTTCAGAGCCACTTGGGCTCCTGGGTAATAGGCAGATAGGGTTAGGATCAGTGTACAGCGGCTGCATAGCCATGTGGCAGTGAGTGACTGAGGCGGGGAAACCAGTCAGGAGACCCACCGATATTTGTGAGAACTAATGAGGGTCTAAATTAAAGCAGCAGAAGTGAGAGTACGGAGGAAGTGTGTGGGGGGTGGGGTGGGCGGAGATACAGAAGTTAAAGAGGGAAGATTGGTAGGACTTGACTGTTGATTGGGTGTGGTGTGGTGGGGAAAATGGTGGAGTCCAGGTTAACCCTGAGGTTTCTAGTTTGGATTAATTATGGGACCATTCATTTATTGTCTCCCTTCTCTAGCATTCTGTTAGCCATAAACCCTGTGTTGGGGCTACCCTTCAAATTAACGGCTCTTAGTGTTCAAATGCCTGAGCTTTAGTAGTTGGGCTATGCAGTGTTTTCTCGATTCCTCCTGTCTGTAGAGTCTTTCCTCTACTGGATTCAAGTTCTTGAGACAAGTAAATCAGATAAGCAGGTTTTACTGTTTATAGAACACATTTATCCATTTCTAATGGACTCAGGGACATCATTTGTAAACATCAGATATTGGCTGAGTCGTGCTGTTTTATGCTCACCTTCAAAGACTACTGAACTGTGAAGAGTTCCTACACTGTCTTTTTCCACTGTGCTTATTTAACCGGTCTGGCTGTTCATAGAACTCTTTCCACTTACAACTTAGAAAAAAGTCCCTACACTTAAGTTGATGAAAATAACTGTCAACACTGCTTTCTGATTGCTGCCAGTTTGGTTAGTGTGGCCTCCCTGATTCTCTTCTCTTACTTTGAATACATGTATGTGTCTTGCACCTCAGGATAAAGGGCTGAGAGGCGACTAGACAGGCTTACTTATAGAAATGTAGAATGAATGGGCTTTTGTGATCTCTGTGTTTCTTAGTTACTGACACCTCTCTTGTTCATCCCTGGTTCACAGCTATAGTCTAGATGGTTGAGGTTTATGACTTTCCAATAAGTGCAATGTTAATGAGGGTTATTAACGCTCATTAGTGTCTCCTCAGAAACAGTGACATCCTTCCCATTAATCTTGGAAAAGTCATTTTGTAGCATGAATGGGCGCGAGTCAATGATCTAAGCTCTTTTGCTGGGTGAAGTGAAATAGACTTTAAAAAAAGAGAGAAAGAGAATCGAGACCCTGTAACTAACACAGTACCATTTTTTGTTGTTAAAGATTTTATTTAGTTTTGAGAGAGAGCAAGAGTGTGCATGAGCAGGGGGAGGAGCAGAGGGAGAGAATCTCCAGCAGACTCTGTGCTGAGTGTGGAGGCTGACGAGGGTATGGATCCCAGAACTCTAAGATCATGACCTGAGCTGAAACCAAGAGTCAGAAGCTCAACCACCTGAGCCACCCAGGCTCCACCATGCAGGACCGGTTTTTAAAGCACTCCAGTAACATTAGACCTTGCTCTCTTTCCCACCTTTCCTTGTAGGTAGGCTTTAAACCAGCAGGAGGCATCCGCAGTGCCAAGGATTCCCTTGCTTGGCTCTCTCTCGTGAAGGAAGAACTGGGAGATGAATGGCTGACGCCAGAACTGTTTCGAATAGGTGCCAGTACTCTGCTTTCGGACATCGAGAGGCAGGTGTGTAATAATCCATTGTCCTTAGGACAAATTGACAAGTGTGTTTTTGAGAAAGAAATGAAAAATCCCCTATTGGGCTATGAGAACTAGAGAAAAAAACTCATCCGATTTACCTCATCACACCCAAACTTCTGCTTTCGTCCAAGCAAACCTTCACCTGAAGTGGGTTGAATGGAGAGTCTGCAGAAATGCATAATAATATGGGGCTTTATAAGGAAACATTAATTATAATTATTAATTATTATTTAGTAGTATAATTATTAATTGATATATATGGTACATGATAATTATTAATTAACTAAACTCTGGTTTTCCTCACAGATTTACCATCACGTTACCGGAAGATATGCAGCCTATCATGATCTTCCGATGTCTTAAATCAGCGACCAGTTCCAGAAAAGTGCTTTATAGCAACATGTAAAATGTGTTTTTCTACGTCATTGCTAAAATTGTTTAATTAAAACATGAGGGAATGAATGGATAACTGACTTTATTTTTCCCCCTTAAAACTTTCACTGAATTTAATTCAAAGAATAAAAGAAAAAAACAACTAATCCATACATGGTATTCTTTTCAGGTGCCTCTGAACGGTCCTAATTACTTGAAGATCTGTATTGTTAATTTTGTGAAGATTTTCTCTTAAGAATTCTGAGTAAAATATTAATGATAGCTTTGACAGCATTCAATTCTAAGGGGGAAAAAAACGTTAAACTGCCCAAGAAACGTGCCTTTAGCGAGAGCAAACGTAGCATCCCTGAGCTGCTGGCCATACTCTGATGACTTCAGGAGTCACTGACTTGGCACTAATTTCCTGCCGTGAAAATCTGTCTTTAATTTTTGCAACAGATATGCTCTCTTATTAATTGTTTTGCTAATGAAACTCCTGTCACTGTTACATGATACTGTGGCTATTGCATTTTTTAAATAAAAAAATCTCTGTAGTTTATTTTTTTGGAAAAAAAAATCACTTTAAATTGTAACAACACCAACTGAAAGATAATCCATTAAACACAGAAAGAGGTTTTATCAATGACTTTCTGAGTCTGTCCAGTAAAGTGTGCATATTTATATCATAAAGCACCTCAGTAACACTATTAATGAATACAACTTACATATATATCCTGAAACTTTTAAGATTTTCTGGCATAGTGAATAGGGGGAAAAACAGCCAACACTAATGTAGCACTTAATACATGCTAAGCTCTTTACATAGGTCAGTGTATTTAATATTTACTTAATCCCTGTAACAGTCAGTACTGATATTATCGTCCTTTTATACAGACAGACTAGGGACTGAGGCACAGAGAGCTGAAGCAACTTGTCAAAGATCACAGAGCTCACAACCGGCAGAGTCAAGAATCAAGCCCAGGACCAGTGTGGCTTCCGAATATGTGCAGTCACCCGGGGGGTGCACCACTGTCCCTCAGCACACACAGGCTCATCATCAGAGCTTACTGTCCGCTCTGGGGAACGGTCATCTGCTTTGTGGGCTACTCGTTGCTTGGCTCCCTGTCCCTCCCAGTGTTCCCGTCTGCCAGTTTGGCTTGCTAGCAACCCTCCCACATGATAGAACCTACGTTTTCTTTTCTTTATTTCTTTCTTTTTTTTTTAAGATTTCATTTATTTATTCATGAGAGACAGAGAGAGAGAGAGAGGCAGAGGAAGAAGCAGGCTCCCTGCAGAGCCAGGGAGCCTGATGCGGGACTTGATCCCAGGATCCTGGAATCATGACCCGAGCCGAATCGACTGACCCACCCAGGCGCCCCTAGAACATACGTTCTCTTAAATGGGGATTTTCATGGAGTGAGTCTCTAGCTACTCCTAAGTGGGAAATCCCAGACTGTGCATCCGTATTGGTTACACCTTCTGACTGTGGGATGGTAGCCAGCTTCTTCCTCGTTCTAGCCCTGTGACCTTGGTTCAGGCAGTTCACATCTCTGGACCTCAGCCTCTTCATCTGTAAAAGAGAGGGGTTGGGCAGGTGCTATCAAGGTCCTTTCAGACCTAAAATTACATTACCCTAAGGATAATTATAACAAATTCTAGAAAGTGTTTTATGGCTATAAAGAGAAAACACTTTTGTAGCAATCTAAATTAGAATTTGCCTCTCGGGAATCAATTAGGCAGGTCCCCAAAGCGCCTCTCCAACTGTAAATGAAATGACTAAAATAAGAAGGGAGAAGAAATCCTGCTTTTCCCCATTCCCTTAGCAGAAAGCTGACTCTTGACTTACACCTTTGGATACGGTCAGTAGCTCCAAATGCCGTATCTACTCTCATAACATGGCAGCCCAGGTGCCCACGGCACAATGGCCAGTCACCTTTAGAGAAGAAACTTTGCAGAAAAATAATTACATTCTATCACCTTTGAAGCTATTCCAATTTCACAGGGGTTTGTGTTTTCCTCCCATTAAACCCAGCTGGTCATTTCAGTTGATCAAGTGAATAGGCATCATTATCTTCAATTCTAATTTATATGAGGCATCCCCTGAAATTGACCCCTGCGGACAATTATAGATTCACATAGGAAATTAAGACTGTGAGTCCCTCCAACCTATTAGAGGCTGATGAACATGGCCTGATCTGAAGGTATGTAATCTTATATTTTGGGGGACAATTTATTCCAAGGACTATCAGGCTCTTCATCATCAATGTCTGCCCCTTACCTGGCTCTTGAAATCAAATGTAACACAGATGACTTTAATGGGAAGACCCTAGTAAATGTTGATTGCTATGAAAACATAAGAGGAAGAGATCATTTTCGAGGTGACTGTGATTTACTACAAGCAGATCTGTGTACTTCAGAATATAGGCAGCAGATGCTTTATACGATCAGAAAATGAGGGCCGTGTCTTCTAAGTTAATAAAGCAACCCCCACGCCAGTTGTCCCAGTTGCTCAATAAAGCATATTAGTCCTTAAAGTTACTTTTTAAACAACAAATCATATAATTTGGGGGCTTAAAGAGACTTTAGAGAATATATATTTCTAACTGTCATTCTTTATGTAAGAAAAGAAACCGAACGTGGGGAGGTCACTTACGTCAGACCATGTAGAAAGTCAGAGCTGAGACCAGAACTTGGGTCCATATTTTGGCCGTGAAATATTTCACAAAACAGCCAGGGCTTTGGAATTGAAAGTTTTTTCTTGTTTATACACCCTACTGCACCTAACATTATGTTTGTCAGCGTGTGAAATTCAGACTTTGAAAAGACTCACTTTTGCCTCATAGGAGTCTTCTGGGGGCACGTGGGTGGCTCAATCAGTTAAGCTTCTGATTTGATTTTGGCTCAGGTGATGGTCTCAGGATTGTGGAATCGAGCCCCACATTGGGCTCTGTGCTCAGCCAGGGTCTGCTTGTCCTCTCCCTCTGCTCCCCCCGCCCCACTCATGCTCTCTCTCTCTCTCTCTCAAACAAATAAAATCTTAAAAAAAAAAAAGGCCTCTAAATGGTGTTTTAGAGACCAACCGTCTAAATCTAGTCCCGGTGATCATGTGGTTAATTCCATCCATTAGACTTTCCGAATTTGGGGTGACCTCGAAAACTGAAATTAAAAAAAAAAAGTTGCATGTTGCTTTATTGTGTTTGTTATTTTTTTAAGGACAAAACTGAGAAGGGGCTTGTTTGGATTCTGGTTTGTCTACAAATGGAGAAAAAATGACTAGTGCAATCACAAAACAATTTCATAATTACAGTATCTTTGCCACATTCTAGATTATTTCAGCGCTAACAGGAAATTTAGGCAAATTAGTTTGCATGAAAAATAGCTTCTAAGGAGACCTGTATAGAAGCAGGAACTGTTAGAAATCCTATCTGGAAGTCTCATCCTCTGTGCATGGAGTCTCTGTCTTGATGGAGCAGAACAGTTTGCTAGGTCGTATGTAGATGTCTTACACAAACCACATCTAGAGAAACCAAATCAGTTTTTTTGTTTTTTTTTTTTTAGAAAAAAACAACTTACACTGCTAGTACAGAGAGAAACCAATATTAATTTTTTTTCTACCAACCTGATAATTTTTTGATGCAACATAAATAGAGCCAGAATGGAGATAGAAGAAAGAATTTGAATAGATCATACTTTCAAAGGAAATGAAGCATTATGGCCATTTTGGCACTAAGAAAAAGGTATGAGGTGAAATCAATTTCCACATTTGTTTTCCTGATCATGCTCAAGAGTCTGGCCTCCCAAAGGAAAATATGTATTTTATAACCACCACCAAATGATCCTTTCCAGAAATGACCACAGGTAACATCTGGCCAATATATAAAATACGTAGTAAAAATAATCATTTTTAATTAACTAAAACCTGCTCAGGAGAGAGAGTCAGAGGAATATCCATCTGGTCAATTCTTATTTAATAGGGCAAATGAGGATCAGAATGTTTAATGCAATATATGTGAAATACTCAGTGACCTTACAATAAACTAAAACTTTTTTTTTTTTTTTAGGAAGAACAGGGATGAGGGGGAAGAATAAAGATATCTTGAAATGACAGACCTAAAATTTGATTTTTATTTTAGAAGTACATGTACTTTAAAACAGAGGTAGAATATAAGAGACCTAGGTTTTGTGGCATTATTTTCTATGGTTCAATGACAAAGTGTATTTTAATCTATTTGAATGGTAAAATGAGGTTGTATTTTATTCCAGAGCTTGACAAGGATGACGAAGAGTTTTAAGTGATTATAAATAAAGGTAAAAGGAACAAGGAGAAGATTGAAGAGTACTTGATGTCTGATGGTCCCAAGAAAAGTTATATATTGGCTTGTAGTAACCAAAAGTCCTCTATCCCCTCTGTAGAAGAAGAAATGAGTGTATGCTACACGAGAAGTTAGGTTAGTTCTAGGGGAGAACTCCTTTAATAGTCTGAAATATGCTGTTAAGAAGGTACATTTTTCTCTTCCCTTCTCAGGAGTAGATTGTCCTTTGATTGGAGTAGTTTGGTTGTGCTTCCAAAGAGAGTGGTTCTCAAACTTTAGTATACATGAAAATCACCAAGAGAGGCTTTGTTTTTTTAAAGATTTATGTATTTATTTTGGGGGGGGTGGGAGAGGGGCAGAAGGAGAGGGAGAGAATCCTCAAGCAGACTCCCCCCTGAACATGGAGCCTGCTGCGGGGCTTGATCCCAGGACCCTGAGAGCATGACCTGAGCCAAAACCAAGAGTGGACGCTAACTGGCTGAGCCACCCAGGCACCCTGAGTTGTTTTTTTTTTTAATAAAACACTGAATTCTGGGCCTCACGCCCAGAATTTCCAATTCAGTAAATTGTGGGGCCTAAGAATTTGCATTTCCAGGAAGTTCCCAAATGATGTTGATGCTCAGGAACCACACTCTGAGAACCACTGGACTGGAATGCTTTGTACTCAATACCTAGATTCTGAAGTAAATTCATCTCTTCATTAGTAAAATTCACCAGCTGCAGTACTTCTTTATCACGGAACTGCAGGATGAGTGTGTATATTTTGCTGCTTTTCATAGCCATGAACAAGAGAGGGAGCAATGGAAATGACATTTTCCCGTAACCCTTTCACAGTAGGCAATGAATATGACTATACTTGGGGTTTAAATGCAAGCTTTGGAGCCTAGAATAGACGTTTTAGATGAGTTTAGGATCATTATCCATAAAATCTTCCCAAGGCTTTCAGCAAGCCAAGATAGTAAGTTTCAGCTGTATTTGATCTTACCTGTTTGGAATGCTTTGACTTCGGTGATTCCAGTGTAATTGCACTTAAAACTAAGACCTATTTTTTTAAAATTTTATTTTATTATGTTAATCACCATACATTACATCATTAGTTTTTGATGTAGTGTTCCGTGATTCATTGTTTGCGTATAACACCCAGTGCTCCATGCAGAACGTGCCCTCTTTAATACCCATCACCAGGCTAACCCAT